GCAACTTAAACTGGCATGAGAGAGCTCTCAACACCCTGATTTCTCTCAGATCTTTATTACTATGTAATTAATTATTATTATTAATTATTATGTAATTAATAATTATTATGTAATTAATATTTGTGGTTTTTTGGTTTTTTTTTTTATTTTTGACAGGCAGAGTGGACAGTGAGAGAGAGAGACAGAGAGAGAAAGGTCTTCCTTTGCCGTTGGTTCACCCTCCAATGGCCGCCGCGGCCGGCGCGCTGCGGCCGGCGCACCGCGCTGATCCGATGGCAGGAGCCAGGAGCCAGGTGCTTTTCCTGGTCTCCCATGGGGTGCAGGGCCCAAGCACCTGGGCCATCCTCCACTGCACTCCCTGGCCATAGCAGAGAGCTGGCCTGGAAGAGGGACAACCGGGACAGAATCCGGCGCCCCGACCGGGACTAGAACCTGGTGTGCCGGCGCCGCAAATATGTAATTAATATTTGTAATCGCCCATTTCTCTATTCCAGGGAAGCATTTTTTTTTTCTTACTATCTTGGTATCAGGGTTTAGGTTAGACAAGGATTCCAAGGGTTTCAACTTAGTGCTTTATACCATATTGGTTCTTTTTCTAGAATCAGAGAGCCCACACTGAGATTCTGCTAGTCACCTGTATCTATGTACTTTCAGTAACTGATGAGATCATTATAGGCTGGTTCTACAGCCCTCCAAGGACACTGTAATTTAAACTTGAGTTAAGACTGTTTCTCACGTAGCTACTACAAGCTTCCACTTGAGCTAGTGGACTACAGTGGTATGCTGGATCCCCCCAAATTTGATTTTAGGCTTTGGATAATTTAATCTATCCTCAAGTCACTGATTCTTTCCAATCTGATTCTAGTTTACAAAAAGCATGCCAAAGGAATTTCTCATCTCGGTTATTGTGAGTTTTTAAAAAGTTTTCCATTTATATATTTTACTTTTTTGAGAGGGAGGGAGAGAGAAAGAGAAAGAAGGTTTTTAAGGAAGTTCATGTGGAATATGTTATGAAAACAATCATGCATGGATTTCAAAAATTATTTGCACCGAAATAAATTTATCTTTTAGCTTCATATTTCCTCAAACTTTTTGAAGTAACTTTGTACATAAATACTGCTATTAAATATGGCTATTTTAAGTGTCTGATAGTTCCAACATTTGGGCTGCCTTTGTGTCTGGTTCTATTGTGTGTGTTTTATCTCCTGACAATGGATCATTTCTCCCTTTTCTTTCTGTTTTAAAAAATGCTCATTCTTATTTAATTGAAAAGCAGAACAAGAAAGCAAGAGAGTGACAGCGAGAGAGAGAGAGAGAGATTCCATCCTTCCATCTGCTGGTTCACTCTTCAAACGCCCACAACAGCCAGGGCTGGGCCAAGTTGAAGCCAGGAGCCAAGAACTTCGTCTGGGTCTTCCATAAAGGCGGCAGGGAATCAGTACTTGAGCCATCATTTGCACCTCTCAAATGCATTAGCAGGAAGCTAGAATAGAAATGGGGGTGAGCAGAAGGAACAGGCCATCAAGGAGAGAGGCGCCTTTCTCTGAAGGGAGAAAGGAACCTCCACTGCCATACGGCCTTGACTAAACAAGTTCAGAGTCGGTGAACTCAAGGGGCTTCCATAGCCTAGACAGCTCATAGCAAGAGTCTCGGGTGATTGCTCACGTCATAAATAAGAGTGCCAATTGTTAAATCAACAACGGGAGTCACTGGGTACTGTGGGGAGCAACTCGGACTAGACTGTTACTGGAATTAAGACTTATTCTATGCATCTGCTCTCCCACAATATGGCGCTGAGAAGGGAGTAACAACTTCTACGCAGCTGCCTCTCGCCAACTTGAGTGATGACCTGCAGGAGCTGATCCTGCTCCTGATTGCAGGAGAGCAGCGTACTCGGCATGTGGGTAGCAGAGTTGGGATTGGTGGAAGAGGACTATAAAGGAGGAGAGAGACAACATGCACCAGGAACATCTGGGCAACCCCTGAGAAGCCCCCGAGAGAGCCAGCCGGTGGTGTGCCGCTCCCCCGCGGAAGTGGGGAAAGTGGCGAAAGTGGCAGGGGGAACTGCCCTTCCACGGAGGTGGAAGGGTTGGTAGCCAACCCGGGAAGAACCAGCAGCAAACCCGGGGAGGGCCGAGCAGACAAAAGAACAGCGCAGGGTTCTGTGTCGTTCCTCCACGAAGACGGGGAGCGACAGGGTACATGCTCCCCATGTAGGATCTCTGTCCTTAATGTGTTTTGCTATGAAACTTAAAAACAACACTACTAGTCGAACAATACCCTATACCTTGTGTGGTTGTGTGAGTGCAGCTTGTTGAAATCCTTGCTTAGTATATACTAAGTTGATCTTCAGTATATGAAGGTAATTGAAAATGAAACTCGATGAAGGGCGGGATGGGAAAGGGAGTGGAGAGGGGAGGGCCGCGGGAGGGAGGGAGGTTGGGGGTGGGAAGCCACAACAATACAAAAGTTGCACTTTGTAAATTCACATTTATTAAATAAAAAAAAAAGAAAAAAAGAAATGGTGGAGGCAGGACTCAATCCCAGTGTGATGCCCAATGTGAATTGTAGGCATCCCCATTAACAGCTTAACCTGCTGTGATATAATACCCACCCCTCTTTATTTATTTATTTATTTATTTATTTATTTATTTATTTATTTGACAGGCAGAGTGGACAGTGAGAGAGACAGAGAGAAAGGTCTTCCTTTTGCCGTTGGTTCACCCTCCAATGGCCGCTGCGGCTGGCGCGCTGTGGCCGGCGCACCACGCTGATACGATGGCAGGAGCCAGGTGCTTCTCCTGGTCTCCCATGGGGTGCAGGGCCCAAGCACTTGGGCCATCCTCCACTGCACTTCCCTGGCCACAGCAGAGAGCTGGCCTGGAGGAAGGGCAACCAGGACAGAATCCGGCGCCCCGACCGGGACTAGAACCCCGTGTGCCGACGCCACAAGGTGGAGGATTAGCTTAGTGAGCCACGGCACCAGCCCCCTCTTTATTTTTTAATTTTTAAAAATATGTTTATTTATTTAAAAGAAACACACACACACACACACAGATCTTCCATCTCCCATCTTCCCTACAGTGGCTGGGGCTGGGCTAGGCCAAAGCTGGGAGTCTGGAACTCCATCTAGGCCTCCCACATGAATGGCAGGGACCCAAGTACTTGAGCCATTATCTCCTGCCTCCCAGGATACACATTTGCAGGAACCTGATTCCTTCACACTTCCAGTCCATCCTCTATGTTACTGGTGGAGATTTTTTAAATTATTTTTAAAAGATTTATTTATTTGAAAGAGTAACACAGAGAGAGGGAGTGAAAGAGAGAGAGGCAGAATCTTCCATCTACTGGTTCACTCCTGAAATGACCACAACAGCCAAGTCTGGCTAAGCCAAATTAGGAGCCAGGAACTCCATCCTGGTCTCCCATATGGGTGGCAGGGGTCCAAATACTTGGGCCAGATGCTGCTGCTTTTCCCACGCCATTAGCTGGGAGCTAGTTTGGAAGTGGAGCACCCATGTGGGATGCCAGTAGCATTGCAGGTGGCAACTTAAATCACTGCTCCATAACACCATCCTGGTAGGTCTTAGTTTTTTAACCCAACATCTTCCTGAATATAGAAGGCACTCAATAAAAGTTTATTGAGTTGAATATATCTGGGTACATCCAAATGAAACAGATTTTTAAAAATGGAGGGAAGGCCGGCGCAGCGGCTCACTAAGCTAATCCTCCGCCTTGCAGCGCCGACACACCGGGTTCTAGTCCCGGTCGGGGCGCCGGATTCTGTCCCAGTTGCCCCTCTTCCAGGCCAGCTCTCTGCTGTGGCCAGGGAAGTGCAGTGGAGGATGGCCCAAGTGCTTGGGCCCTGCACCCCATGGAGACCAGGAGAAGCACCTGGCTCCTGCCATCGTATCAGCATGGTGCGCCAGCCGCAGCGCACCAACCGCGGCGGCCGTTGGAGGGTGAACCAACAGCAAAAGGAAGACCTTTCTCTCTGTCTCTCTCACTGTCCACTCTGCCTGTCAAAAAATAAAAATAAAAAAAATGGAAGGAAAATTCTGAGCAATTTCAGGAGATGGATACCATTGGCAAAGAGAACAGAGTGAAAATGTACAGTTGGGGCCTATCATAGGAATATATTTTATTTTGTATTATTTGTTTACAATTTGTTCCAAAAAGGCTCTGAGGCAGTTATTTGTAAGTGTTGGAATCCAGTGTCTCTAAAGGCATTGATTTTGGCTTATTCAACTAAAATATGTGTTATACTGAAAACAGAAAAGCAAATATTCCAGAATATTATATACATATAATTTTCCTAGATTGTAACTGTCCTGAAATCAGAGACCATGTATATGTAATTTACCCTTTAAGCAATACCTGGTGCATATATGCTCCAACCTTAAATGATTTTTGACGCAGCCATGATTTCATAATTTGTCACTGAATCTAGTCATTTTCAGTGAAGTAGGGATTTAGTGATTCTCTATTTTAACTCCTTAAAATATGAATAAGTAATAGTCCTTAATATGAATATGAACTTTTTAATATGAGTAGTAATAGCGCTTCCAGAACTTTCCCCCAACAAAAAATGCTTTTAGAAATCTTATTCTTCTTTGTTTACTTTTCCTGAATGTGTTAGGCAGCCATCAAAGCTTACTTTTTACCTTGCCTTGATTGTTATTTCAAAAATTGAGGATGACAATAATATTAAATAATTTGATTATATTAGGGCTGGTGTTTTTTATTTAATGATAATGATAGTGATTGCCATGCTGAGTTTTCTCATTTCTGAGCACTAGCCTAGCTAGTCAGTAAGCTTTGGTCAGTAGCAACAGTAATAACAGAAGTACTGTTGGAAAAGTTCAGCAGTTGAGAACTTACTGCCGTTCAATAGAATGGTGGGGCAGGCGGGGGCTGGGGGAAGAGTGAGATTTTGATCTTCCAGAGTACCTTTCAGTGTTTATTAACATTTTCTTTCTCTCTCTTTGTTACTAATGCAGGTCAAGTTTTCCATATCGTTTTGTGATATCTCTTAGCAATCCAGATGAGTGAGTCAACATCCCAAGAGGAACCCAGACCTGCTCAGGTTCTTGGTCTTTGTAACTTCCTAACCGTTTATGAGAGTATTGAAGATTCAAAACTTAGGAAAATTAAGTTGCGATATCATATTCTGGCACTTACTTATATCTCCTTTTAGTTGAAGTATCTCACACCAGGTTTTGAAAGGGATGCTGGAAAAAGGGGTCAAAATAATAGATGGCTTACAGTGGGTGGCATTCTTTAATCATAGTACAACATCTTACTGTTCGGTGATAAAACTACTTTTGAAACTTTTTGTAAATTGATATATTTACTCACTATATGAATTTTTTCTTCTAAAAAAACCTTCCTATGCTAGAGTATAAGATGTTAGTTTCATCCACAGCTCCTTTGGGATACCATTACTAACACTGTTTCCATTTCAGAAAAATGAAAAAGAAGGTAAAGAAAGGCATCAGGACTCAACTGAAATGAAAGAGTCTATTGAGGTAGAGTTGTTATGAATAATTAGCTTGCAATATTGGAAAGTAAACTAGATAAAGAAGAAGGAAAACAGAAGATGAACATTCAAAATGGTAAACAAAATGGCAAGTGGCAAAGGGCAAACTCATGTTGATTATTACACTGACTCAACTGAGTCAGTTGCAGGAAGCTTTGTAGACAGGTAATTTGTGAAGAGCTATTATAAAGTACATACAAATACAGGTGGCTTTCTTTTTAAAAATATTTATTTACTTGAGAGGTAGGTATACAGAGAAAGGGGAGAGACAGAGAAAGATCTTCCTTCTGCTGGTTCACTCTCCAAATGACCTCAATGGTCAGAGCTGGGCTGATTTGAAGCCAGAAGCCAAGAGCTTCTTTTGGGTCTCTCATGCAGGTGCAGGGGCCCAAGCACTTGGGCCATCTTCCACTGCTTTCCCAGGCCATAGCAGAGAGCTGGATTGGAAGTGGAGCAGCTTTCTAAACTAGGAACTGTTACCCTATGTACTGTAAACACTAGGTTATAGGGTAGCTTCACCATTATGCTGAAAATAAAATTTCTATGTTAATTATTTAAGCAACTTTGTGTTTAAATAAATACCATGCTACCAATAAGAAAGAACGTTTTATAGAAAAGGAGGTAATTAATAATAGCTATATGGATTCACATTAAGTAACTGATATGTCTTTTTTTTTTTTTTTTTTTTTTTTGACAGGCAGAGTGGACAGTGAGAGAGAGAGACAGAGAGAAAGGTCTTCTTTTGCCGTTGGTTCACCCTCCAATGGCCGCCGCAGCCAGCGCGCTGCGGCCGGCGCACCGCGCTGATCCGATGGCAGGAGCCAGGAGCCAAGGTGCTTTTCCTGGTCTCCCATGGGGTGCAGGCCCAAGCACCTTGGCCATCCTCCACTGCACTCCCTGGCCACAGCAGAGGGCTGTCTGCAGGAGGGCAACAGACAGAATCCGGCGCCCGACGGACTAGACCCGGTGCGGCCCGCAAGGCGAGAATAGCCTAGTACCCGCGCCCGGCCAAGTAACTGATATGTCTTAAAACCATTCTAGTTTTTAATAGTATATCAGTATAAGAGTACAAAAAACTATTCAGCCACCATTAATCATAAAATTAACCTTTGCTTTTCTCAGTTAAAATGAAATTTTTTTTTTCCACCACAAACATGGAAGGTGATTCTAGAAGTTTTTAAAAACATTTGTGGGGCTGGCGCTGTGGTGCAGTGGGTTAACACCCTAGCCTGACATGCTGGCATCCCCTGTGGGTGCTGGTTCGAGACCCGGCTGCTCCACTTCCATTCCAGCTCTCTGCTATGGCCTGGGAAAGCAGCGGAAGATGGCCCAACTCCTTGGGCCCCTGCACCGACGTGGGAGATCTGGAGGAAGCTCCTGGCTCCTGGCTTCAGATCGGTGCAGCTCCGGCCATTGCAGCCGATTGGGGAGTGAACCAATGGGTGAAAGACCTCTCTCTCTCTCTCTCTACCTCTCTACCTCTCTTCTCTCTCTGTAACTCTGACTTCCAAATACATAAATAAATCTTAAAAAAATTTGCTAAGGTTATTTATTATGTGATGATGAACAATCATGTTTCTATAAAGTATTTTATAATTCAAGGATTAGTGTACATCTGGAATGTTATTTCTGGCATATTTGTAACTTAGTAATAGGACAATATGATGACGTGGTATCAACATTTTTTATTTTGTCAAATGCAATAAATAAACTGACTACCTCTTTGCTTCTAATACACAGAATTAAATCCTGGAAAAGTGTTCAGTAACTCCTACAAAGAAATTAACACTCTGTTACTTGGAAGAATGTTTGATGAAACTTGGAGGAAAAGCAACTAGTTTTAAAATTGGTGTTTCTTTTCTCCTTTCAAAGAGTTCACAGAATGTAGCAGATGTTTCTGTAACAGAGGCCAGCAACAATGTGGGAGAAGAAGCAACAGATGAAATCAAACCCCAAGGTAGAGAACTAGCCTTTTCTCTATACAATAGAAATAAACTACCATCCATTTTCACTGGATATGATTTTTTAAGATTCTGCATCTTAAAAATATAATCCTGGGCACATTTTAAATACAATTTGGAAAACAGTATTTTCACCTTCTGTTAACAGTTTTGTGGTGACTTTATGACTATTTATCTTGTACTACTTAGGAGATTTAGTTTTGAGACTGAATGACACCTAGCAGACAACTTAATATAAAAATAAAATGAAGAATTCTGGTAATACGGGCTTTTATTGTTCTTGGTCCTATTTATTCTTTTCACTGTTGTACTTGACCATACATTCATCCTGTTTGACCCAAAGCTTGAATCCTCATTCCACGCCTAAACCAAATTCCACATTATTATGCAGCCTGGGCAGGTGTTGTAGCACAGTGGGTTAAGCTGCCTCTTGGGATGCCTGAATCCCATATTGGAGTGCTGATGGAGTCCCAGCTACTCCATTTCCAATCCAGTTTCCTGCTAATGTGTCTGGGAGACAGCAGATGATGCCCCTAAGTATTTGTGTTCCTGGAACCCACTAGGGAGACCCAGATGGAGTTCCTGGCTCCTAGTTTCAGCTTGGCCCTGCCCTGGCTGTTGTGGGCATATGGGGATGGACCTGGGGGATGGAAGATCTCTCTCTGTCTCTGTCTCTCTCTCTTTCAAATACACAATTTTTTTTTCAATTTACAGGATCAAAAAGGCAACAAATAAGTAAATGCTTCCATATTTCTCCAGATAATTAATCTTGCTTATACAGTACTTCTAACTCCAGTTACTTAATCTCATTTCTACAGTACTTCTAATTCCAGATACCTATAAAAATACTGTACCATCAGAAATTTCTGCAATATTTAAAATTTTTTTATTTAATTGTAAATTCACTTCAATTCAGTTTACAAGTATTGAGTTTAATATGTACTACACTGGTCTGGGTTGAATTACAGTAATAATTACTGAAATATTTTCTAAGCTATAAATTGCTGTATAGATGTTAGTTGTAACTTTAAGGGGCTAATTTTTTCTGAAGTGATTTTTCCTCACCTTTTAAACCAATTGAGAGTGATTATTTACTATTTCTTATTCATATACATTATAACACACATATTAAGAGCTAACCTTATTTTGTCCTCATTGTAAACTTAGTTCTATTTGCACAGCTTCACTGTTAAAAATTTCCCCATCAAGTCCATTCCTCTCCACCTGTGGCCACTCTGGTTTCCTCATTTTCGTTCCTCCTCACCCCAACCTTCTACCACTAGTACCTCACGTGCTTTGCATTTACTTTAGTCACTTGGGCCAGGTTTATAAATTAACTGTTTCATTTCAAACATGCCAAAAAGAATTGTGAGCTAGGTAATTTGTTAAAATTTTATCAGGTATACACTTTATTTATGGCCAAATTTGTTTGGAAAATTTCACACATGTATTCTATTATGTAATTTATGGCCTCTCCAGAAAACATATCAGTGAAGAATTTATGGACTTTCCTATTCTCTTTTTTTTTTTCATTTGAAAGGCAGACACACACACATATTTTTTTAAAAAGATTTATTTATTTATTTGAAAGGCAGAATTAGAGAGCGAGAGAGAGAGAGAGAGAGAATCTTTAATCTACTTGTTCACTCTCCAAATGTGCACAATAGCCTGTGCTGTGCCAGGCTGAAGCCAGGAGCCCAGAACTCAAAATGGGTCTTCCTCATGGATGGCAAGGATCTGAGTACTTGAACCATCATCTGCTGTTTCCAGAGTGTGTGTTTGTGGGAGCTAGAATAGGGAGCAGAGCTGAGACTAAAGCAGAGGCACTCCTACATGGGATGTAGGCATCCCAAGCGGTGTCTTAACCGTTGTGCCAAACACCTGTCTGACTTTCCTGTTCTTGTACTTTCAATTTCTGAATGTATTGTAGAGAGAAGTGTGTTTTGTGTAACTATTCACCACAGCAGAGATGTACTGAAAATACTGATGTTGCTTATGTGATATCAAATGAAATCAGTGTGCTCATTCTATTCAGTAATCCACCTCTACTAAATCTTATACTCTGAATGAAGTGGGAAGAGGAACTGTTACTGCAGTTTCCACATGTCATAGGAAGTGTCACTATCCTTGTTACATAATTATAAAAATTAAAGTGATATTACCTTGCCAAACAGCTCTCAGTGCACTCAAATACTTGTATTTGCATAGAAAATACTGCAGTTAAATGTACCATGCCAATTCTTTACCTTGGTTTTTCCTCTTTTCAGGCTATGAGCTTAAATTGAATTTTTGAGAAAAAATTTTAAAAAATTATTGGTTTGCTTAGTTCTATTCTTACCAAGCCCTAAGATGAACAAAGGTTTATAAGAAACTGACTTTTCCTTTAGCTACTATATTGTAATTCCAGTAGTGTTCAGTGGTGCTTCTTTTCTTCATTCATAGCAATCATTCTACACTGTGTATGTATGCTAAGAAATCCTGATAATAAGTGCAAAGCAGCTGAGTTTCAGTCTGGGTTTGTGTTTAAAGAGAACATCACACACCTGTTGAGTGGCCCTGAGGGGTCAATTTTCATCACTTTCATCAGCAGCCAGTCCCACTAGTGTTATATACCTCTTTATTGAAGAGCGAGATTGCTAAGGCTTATTATAATTCATTTCCATTTATGTTCTTAAATGAGTTTTATACAGAGGCGATGCCCAGCAGCAGGCCATGCACTAAGTACAGGAAGTGATAAAAAGTCACTTAGAAGGCTAGACCTTTCAAAAATATGAACGAGGAATTCTTTTGTGTCCCTCCTTATTTAGCTGAAGGCATTCATGCCGGTAGTGCTTGAATAGGTCTTTGTGTGTTAGAAGGTGGACCGTTGAGGGGTGAAGGTGTGCATGTTAAGAGAGAGCTTGAGAGACTCTTATTTCACACAGGAATTTAGGGTGTCAATCCCAAAAAAGAATTCCAGTGCTTAACATAGTTCCTGGCACATGGTGAGAAATCAATAATTATTTATTGAGTGAATGTATAAATGAGTCAATTAATCTGTCTGTAAAAGGTTTAGGAACGTTCAAGCACAAACCTGTTTTAAGGAAAAAGTCTTCAGTTAAACTTCGGAATTAATTTGCCCTTGGGGCAGTGCCATAATCTGTGATCCTTGAATTCAGAGGTCATTCAGTCAAAAGACAGCTTCAGATGGGCTTGTTCAGAAGCCCGATTTATTGACCTTGCTATTGCTGTGTCTTTTTCTTTTCTTGGTTTTATGGCCCTAAGAGAGAAGTGTTTGACTAGAGTTGTAACTAAACACATGTCTACTTCCATTCTGTGTATCAGTGGGGACAATACAAGCATTAGGATTATTGCTTAGCAACCTATAATAGCCACGCACACTGGAGGAGCTCTGTCAGGCTGTGAGGAAGATAGACAATGCCCCAGTAACAAGTAAGTTGCTATACATCTGTAGCACCATCCTTAAAGCAAGAGGTAGAATATCTGCCTTTTTGTTCTGGACAGGTTAAGAGAAGGGAGTAGATTAGAACCAGCAGGCTCAAAAGAATTAAAAAAAAAGCATGTATATTAATAAGCATGATGACAAAACAGAAAGGAGACACGCCCTTCCCACTCCCCACCACCCACCCCTAAAGTGATTAATTTGTTTCTAAATCCAACTGAGTAGTGAGAAAGAACCTTATACTACCTTCCTTGTGTTCCCATTATTGGAAAAATAGAATTGGCCAAAGGAAGAAATCACAACTTGGAAGGGAGGCCTATAAATGCTATCAATTATTGGAAATTATTGTAGATGAAATGTTGGCTTTTCAAGGATCCCTTCATATATTTCTTAATTTTTCTTCTTAGCATAAAAAGGGATACTATCTAGATAGGGTTTATTATTCAGAGTATTGATTTTTCAAAATTTTAAAACTAGCAAAACCTTTTTTTTCCAAATGGAAACTTAAGATGTTTTCTAATTATGTAAACAAATTGAAGTATAGATGCCCACACTACAAAGGGTACAAGAGTCTTTGAAGCTCTCTCAGGATCCTGGGAAGCATATTTCAAAATTGATCGCTCCACAACACAAACTCTTACTCTCCACTCAGGAAAATAATTTAACAACATCTCATCAAGTTAAAATGCATATACCTATGACCCTGGGTTTTGGCCCTATAACAAACTACCACAGCCTGGGCAATCTATACACAGCATACATATGTTGCTCACAGTTACAGGGTCTGGGAATTCCATGACCAGGGTACCAGCAGGTTCAGTGTCTGGTAAGACAAGATGGTGCTTTGAACGCTGCGTCCTCTGATGCATGCTGTGCTCTCACATGGAAGAAGAAATAGACAGGAGGGAAAAGAAAGAAAAGACTAAAGAGGGCCTAGATAGTTACTGTAATAAGGGTTTTCATCTTTAATAAGGGTGTTCATCTGTCCATGTCCATGAGGGAATGGGGTAACAAGTGTTGTTTCACTAGATGTATATATTGTATGTTCAAATCAGAGTAAGCACATTAAATACTTATAATTTCTTTATGGTAAAAACATTAAAATATGTAGTATATTATTGTTATTTCTAGTCATCCCACCGAGCAATAGAATACCAGCATTTCTTTCTCCTATCTAATTGTAACTTAGATATATATTTTTAAACTGGAATTTATTGGCAAATCTTTCTTTCAAATAAATAAATAAGTAAACCTTAAAAATCAATCATTATAAGGACTATATAAATCTAAAGTTGATGGTGATAATTTTTGATTAACTGAACAGAGCAAAGCAAACACAACGGTAGACTTCAGCTGTGCCTGAAAAGTTATGTTCTTGGACTTTCCAGATACATAAACTAATATATTCTATTTTTAATTTAAACTATGAGAAGTGGATTTGTATTGCTCAAAAACAAGGGGCCTTTCATAACATCTCCTTCTTGTGTACTCTAGGAGGATGTCTCTGTGTGCAGCCCACACTTGAGGGCAGGGGACTGATGCTCTATCACCTTGAGGGCAGAGTATCTGTTTAAGTTACTCAGAACACTTCTGCACAGATTTGCCTATCCTTTCCCATCTATTTATTTACAGTAGGGTTTTTTATTTGCTTGTTCATTTGTTTTTTTGAGTACTTCCTTCCTTTATGTCACTACAAGATGCTGTAAGCTTATCTTGTATCTTCTTATCCCAGTCCTACTCTCAGCCATTTTCCACTGATTTTTTTAACTGGATGATAAAATTAGAAACTAAGATTGGAGCACTAGATTTCCAAGTTTTCTCAACTTTTAAAAATAATATTTCTAGCATTCTTTAACTTTCTTCTAGTTTCTCTGCTTTGAGGATATTAATGATAATTCCTTAGAGAACCCTTACATTTACCCTATTAATAGCATTTCCTTGGATGCTATTAGTTATTGCATTTGTTGAATTTAGTAATGGAGATGGTTTTCCTTAAATAGTCCTTAATCTTATATGTATGTGTTTACATTTGCATTTGTGATTGCCTGTTTGCTTTCTTGTGGACAAAGTTTCTGTTTTTTTGAATACTGGGGCCAGGTGAAGGAGAGGTTAAGAGAAGACACTGAAATTTGTTAATTCATTTTCTGTGTCTGTGGGCCTCCTGCCTCCCTAGCCCAGACATCTATACCACTGTATTCCAGGGCAGGGATGAATGCTTCTTATTTTCTTCTTCTCCTCCTTCTCCTCATCCTCCTCTTCCTCCCCCTCCCCCTCCTCCTCCTTCCTCTCCTCTTTCCCCTCCTGCTCCTCCTTGCCCTCCTCCTCCTCCTCCTCCTATTTATCTGTTTGAAAGTAAAAGTTACAGAGAGAGAGAGAAAGGGAGGGAGAAAGAGAAAGACAAAGACAAAGAGATCTTCCACCTGCTGGTTCATTCCCTTAGATGGCCGCAACTGTTAGTGCTGGGTCAAGAGCATTGGAGCCAGGAGACTTCATCTAAGCCTCCCACACGAGTATGGGGCCCAAGGACATGGGCCATCATTTACTGCTTTCCCAGGCCATTAGCAGGGAGCTGGATCAGCAGTGGAGCAGCCAGGACATGAACCAGTGCCCATATGGGCTGCTGGAATTGCAGGCTGTGCCACAATGCTTGCTGACCCTGGTGAGTGCTTCTTGTATCTGATGATTAGCTCAAATGTGAATGAAGATGCACAAAAAGGCGCATCATTTACCTGCTGTAATGCTCTAAACTTAGGGTGCCTCAGAGCTGCTTCTAAATTTCACAGTAATTTTTGTCCTATATCTTTTTAGTCCTATAGTTTCTTCAGTCAGTTGACTCACAACTTCCTTATAGTTTTCAGAGATTCTCAAAATTTCTGACTACTAAAATCCCTCCTTTATGATTGTCAGAATTCTTTTTCTACTTGTATTTTTTATTTATCTAAAAATATTTTTATTCATTTTCTTTGACTTATTTTATGTATTTGTTTTCAGAAATCCTTGTGTTGAGGGCTGACTTTCAGTAGATTGCAGCGAAAGAGTTGATGTCCTGTGTACAAAACCCCTTATTATTTTCATCTAATTTGAAAGGTAGAGTGACAGTATGAAAGAGGGCACATATGTGTGCGATAGAGATCTTTCATCTTCTGGCTCACTCCCAAATGCCTGCAGCAGCCAGTGTTGGACCAGGCCAAAGCCAAGAGTGCAGAACTCCATATGGGTCTCCCACATGGGTGGCAAGGGCCCAAGTACTTGGGCCATTATCCACTGTATCCCAGGATATATTATTAGGAATTAGGAAGTCAGAAGCAGAGGTGGGACCTGAACTCAGGTACTCTGATATGGCATGTGGGTGTCCCAAGCCGAGGCTTAACATGCTGTGCCACAATGTCCATCCCTGCCAGAATTTTTTTTAAGATTTATTTATTTGAAAGGCAGAGAGAAAGAGAGAGAGAGAAAAAAAAAGAGATTTGCTGATTCTCTTTTCAGATGGCTGCAGCACAGGGGCACAGTCCAGGCAAAAGCCAGGAGCCTGGAACTCCATCAGTACTTGATTAATGATCTGTTGCTCTCCCAGGCACATCAGCAGGAAGTGGTGCTGCCAGAATTTGAACCAGTGTGGGATGGGATATGGCATAGCAAGTGGCAGCTTAACCTACCTAACCACAACTGACCTTCCTGCCAGAATTCTCATGCATAGGTTCACACACACACACACACACACACACACCCCTTTCCTATCATTTCTAGAGATTTTGGTAAAGAGGGTATATAGGTCCCTGTTCTCAGTCCACCATCTTGGTCTGGTATCTCCATCCTGCATTTTAAAAATGTTGACATGAGGCCGGCGCCGCAGCTCACTAGGCTAATCCTCCGCCTTGTGGCGCCGGCACACCGGGTTCTAGTCCCGGTCGGGGCGCCGGATTCTGTCCCAGTTGCCCCTCTTCCAGGCCAGCTCTCTGCTGTGGCCAGGGAGTGCAGTGGAGGATGGCCCAGGTGCTTGGGCCCTGCACCCCATGGGAGACCAGGAAAAGCACCTGGCTCCTGGCTCCTGCCATCGGATCAGCGCGGTGCGCCGGCCGCAGCGCGCCGGCCGCGGCGGCCATTGGAGGGTGAACCAACGGCAAAGGAAGACCTTTCTCTCTGTCTCTCTCTCTCTCACTGTCCACTCTGCCTGTCAAAAAAAAAAAAATGTTGACATGAAAGAGGCTAGAAAAATGAGTTGGAATGGGTGACAGTGCTGTGACATAGCAGATAAAGCCACTACCTGTGGTGCCAGCATCCCATATGGGCACCAGTCACGTCTCGTCAGCTCTGCTTCCAATCCAGCTCTCTGCTAATGCACTTGGGAAATCAGTGGAGGATGGCTGAAGTCCTTGGGCCCTTGCACCTGTGTGGGAGACCTGAAGAAGCTCCTGACTCCTGACTTCAGATTGGCCCAGCTCTGACTATTGTGGCCATCTGGGGAGTGAAGCAACAAATGGAGGATATCTCTGTCTGTCTCTGTCTCTGTAACTCTGCCTTTTTTTTTTTTTTTTTAAGATTTATTTATTTATTTGAAAGTCAGAGTTAACACAGAGAGGAGAGGCAGAGAGTGAGAGAGAGGTTTTCCATCCCCTGGTTCACTCTCCAATTGGCCGCAACAGCCAGAGCTGTGCCAATCTGAAGCTAGGAGCCAGGAGATTCTTCCAGGTCTCTGATGCGGGTGCAGGGGCCCCAGGACTTGGGCCATCTTCTACTGATTTCAAAGGCCATAGCAGTAATTCTGCCTTTCAAATAAATACATAAATCTTTTTAAAAAATGAATGGGAAGAAATATATTTAAATATATTAAAACATGTGTGGTAGACTCTCCAATGCTTACTGAGTACACATTTCTCCACCTTTTTGCCTGCCAACTAAACAAAAATTGTGTGGCAAATTGAAATAATTTTGTATCAGAGAAATTTGATAGAAACCTTGATCATCAAGAAATAAATTATGACTGCACAGAACCATTTATAGTAATCCCATTTCCATTTATCAATGATCAGTCTAGGGATGGGGATTTAACCTAGTTAGAGTCAATGCAATGTAAAGAGGGGCCTTAGAGCAGAGTCTGGGGTCTTCTCTTGGATAATGAAGCAGGGCCTCCAGGGAAGACCCTTGTGTGCTCAGTCTTTTTCCTCCTGTAAGGAGGAGGTGATGCATGGAGTTGTACAGCCATTACGCGATCGTGAAGTACAAGCACAAAAAGTTAATGAAGAACAATAGAAACAGGCTAGGTACTTAATAAGGACTTCTGATTAGGTCAACAATAAATGCTGTTATGGTTAAAGGGAGTCTTGTCTGATTTTCTGTCACTTCCAGCTGATGGTATTATTTTTTGCATTTGATGTAAAAAACTAAAAATAATATTCTAAAGTCACATAGATTAAGATCTAATTCTAATATTTCTTGCATTTCACCTTTCTTTTTTTCCCTCCTAGAATTAACCCCTGAGGAGCAGCCAACAACTTCAGTTGATTCAATAAAGGACCCTCATACTAGAGTCTCAGGGAATATTGCAGTCAGAAAGCCTGCAAAAGTGATTTTGGGTTTAGATGAAAGTGAACAGACATCACAGCTAGAACAACCATGGAAGAAAAATCTGTTTGAAAGAGTGGAAGCAAGAGCCCAGGCAATGCAGCAGAAAATAATAGATAAGGATAATCTGAAGAAGGAACTAGAGAAAAAGGCTGAAAAAATACTCCCTAAAGATAATTTGGCCAAAGAGTGGTTTAACACTGAGAGCTTGACACTGAATACTCGTGTATATTTGCTTGACAAACTTCTACCCACCTTAGTTCCTGCTGTGGAACAAATGTTAACACAAATGGAAAAGAAAAAGCTTCAAACAGAAGCTGACATTCCAACCAAGTTTGATCCAATCAATCATTTGGGGGAATATTTAATGAGAAACAATCCTCATTATATCAAAGATCAAGGAATGTCTGGTTACCAGAGGGTGATGAGAGATGTCACTGAAGACCTGAAGATACATGTTCCTGACACTGTCTGCAACAGGTACAATCTGTCATATTTTCAACTGATGACCTGTCTCCTTATACTGAAAAGCTAGAGTAGTAATGTAGTCACACAAACAAGACATAAAAGAAGTGACTGCATAGTTATTCAAAACATGTAGTCATTGAGCTACTACTATGTTTTCATTTCTTTTGCGGCACTGTGAAGACTAATGAAGTTCATTAAATAAGTTCCTTGTCTTCATGAATTTAATTATCTCACCAGGGCTCTAATTATATGTTTATTGGTTTATTTATTTGTCCATCTGCACTAGAAAGTGAACTGTTATATAGTTGGGACTTTTAAAAAACTTAACTTTAACTTTCCAGATAGTAGGCAACACATTTACCGCATTCAAAAGCTAAAATGTGTAGAGTTACACAGTGAAAAGTTTCCCTCTCATTTTGTTTTAAAGATTTATTTATTTATTTGAAAGTCAGAGTTACACAGAGAGAGGAGAGGCAGAGAGAGAGAGGTCTTCCATCCAATGGTTCACTCTCCAATTGGCCGCAATGGCCAGAGCTGTGCCAATCTGAGGCCAGGAGCCAGGAGCTTCTTCCAGGTCTCCCACGTGGGTGTAGGGGCCCAAGGACTTGGGCCATTTTCTACTGCTTTCCCAGGCCATAGCAGAGAGCTGGATTGGAAATGGAGCAACCAGGTCTCCAATTGGCGCTCAAATGGGATACCGGTGCTTTAGGCCAGGGCTTTAACCTGCTGCACCACAGCACTGGCCCCCTTCCCTCCCATTTTTTTTTTTCATGTTTTTATTTTATTTATTTGAAAGTTAGAATTACAGAGGCAGAGAGAAATATCTTTCATCTGCTGGTTCACGCCCCAAATGGCTGCAATAGCCAGGGCTGGGCCAGGCCAAAGCCAGGAGCCAGGAGCTTCATCGGGGTCTCCCACGTTGGTGCAGGGGCCCAAGCAGTTGGGCCATCTTCTGATGCTTTCCTAGGTGCATTAGCGGGGAGCTGGATTGGAAATGGAGCAGCAGAGACACAAACCAGCGCTGATATGGGATGCTGGCATTGCAGGTAGTGGCTTAACCTGCTACACCACAGCGCCGGCCCCTTCCCTCTCATTTTTATCCTCATCTACACAGTATTCCACCTCTGCTGTAGGTAAACACTATTCTTAGTTTTCTGTGAGTTCTTATAGTTTCTTTATAGACACATAAGCTAATATAAATATGAATTCTGATTTTTTTTCTTTTACACAAAAACATGTGATATGAGTTATAGATATTTCCCTGTCTTTATCTACTATTTATTTATCTTTTGTCATGCAGAAAACTTTATTTCTGTGTAGCTGAATTTAATTTTTATGGTATCCAGAGTTTGAGTCACTGTTACCTTTTTTAAAAAAAGTTATATATATTTTTATTTATTTGAAAGTACTTGAACTATCAACTGCTGCCCTCCAGGGTGTACATTAGCAGGAATCTGTAATTGAGAGTAGAACCAGGACACAAACCCAGGCACTCTGCTGTGGGATATGGGCATCCCAAGTAGCATATGAGCTAGTATGCCACACACCCCATACCACCCAGTTACCTTTCAAAATATTAAAAGAATCGTCTCATGTTTTCTTCTGGAATTATTGCGATTTTAACTTTTATTTTAAATATTGATTCATTAGGAATTCATCCTAGCCTACTGTAATATATAAAATATGGATTCAACTTCAACCTTTTCCAAACAGCTACTTGGTAGTCCTAATAAAATTTGTTAGTAGTTTATCTTTACCCTAATTGTTTGAGATGTACCTTTATTATTAAATATTTGCATATTTGGAGTATGTTTCTGATTTTTCTATCTTATCTGTTGGTATATCTCCTTTTCAAGCACTAGTACTACACTGCTTTAATGATTGAGACTTTAAAATACATTTCAATAAATCTGACAGTATTGGTCCCCTTTTTGCTCTTATTTTCTTTTGGATGTCTCCTGGTTATTCTTGTATGTGTACTCATTTATGTAAACTTCAGAATTAACTTTTCTTGGGGTTGGAGCTGTGGTGCAGTATGTTAAGCTGCCACTTGGAACACTTGCATCCCATGTCAGAATGCCTGGGACTGAGTTCTACCTCTGCTTCCCATCCAGTTCCTGCCAATGGGTATAAGCAGCAGATGATGGTTCATGTACTTGGCTTCCCACCACTCTTGTGGAAGACCTAGATGGAGTTCCTGGCTCACAGCTTTGGCCTGGCCCAGCCTCAGCTATTGTGAGCAATTGGAGAATGAACCAGGGGATGGAAAATCTCTCTTACTCTCTCTCTCCCTCCCTCCTTTCCTCTCTCTGATGATCTGCCTTTCAAATAAAAAATAAATAAATAAACTTTAAAGAACAATTAAATTGTCTGGGGGGAAGAATGGGTGAAAGAAAGCCAAAACAAACGTTAGAGGAATTTTAATTGAAATACAATATCTGGGCCACGGCTCAATAGGCTAATCCTCCGCCTGCGGTGCTGGCACACCAGGTTCTAGTCCCAGTTGCTCCTCTTCCAGTCCAGCTCTCTGCTGTGGCCCGGGAGTGCAGTGGAAAATGGCCCAAGTCCTTGGGCCCTGCACCTGCATGGGAGACCAAGAGAAGCACCTGGCTCCTGGCTTCGGATCAGTGCGGTGCACCGGCCGCAGCCATTGTTGGGTGAACCAACAGAAAAGGAAGACCTTTCTCTCTGTCTCTCTCTCTCACTGTCCACTCTGCCTGTCAAAAAAATAAATAAAAATAAAAAAATACAATATCTGTTAATTCAGAAAATGAGCATCTTTAATAGTGATCCATGTTTCCTTTTTATTATTTTAAATTTCTGTTTATTGTCATTTTATTAGGAAGGCAGAGGGACAGAAAGAGAGCAGATGGACAGAGAAGTATCTTCCATCTGCTGGTATACTCCCCAAATTCCAGCAACAGCCAGGGCCGGGCCATGCCAAAGCCAGGGGCTGGAACTCATCTAAGTCTCTCATGTGGATGGCAGGGACACAAACACTTAAGCCGTCATCTGCTGCCTCACAGAATGTACATAAGTAGGAAGCTGGATCAGAAGCAGAGTAGCCAGGACTCAAACCAGGCACTCAGATATAGAATGTGGGCAACCCCATAGCCCAGCCTGATCCCTGTGCCAAATGTTCATCTCTGACCAGCGTTTCTGAGAATGTGTCTTTCCATTTATTCATTGCATTTTGTATACATTAGTGTTGTATTAAAGTTTTTTCATATAGGTTTTTTGTTAGGTTTTTTACTAGTTGCTTTGTCATTTTCTTTTTGTTGCTTTTGTAAGTGGATCTTTCTTCTTTCATTACATTTTCTATCAGGATATAGCCTGAAGACATGAAAACTATTAATTTCTATATTTTGTGCTGTGCTATCTAATTGATTTCCCTCATAATAAAATTTTAGATGATTTCTTGGGTTTTCTGGTGAGGCAACCATATTAACTGCAAATGGTAGTTTTACTTCTCCTTTCTTTTCAACTTTTACACTAACACGTTTCTTTTACTTGTTGCGTTGGCTTTTACCTCCAATACAGTATTAAATAATAGTGCTCATTTGGGTATCCTTGTCTTGCTTATGATTATAGTAGAAATATTTCTTGTCTTGTTTCTTCACCATAAGCAGTTCTTAAAATATATTACTTTTATTCCATTTGGATCTGAAAAACACACTTTCATCACAAGAGGAAAAATAAATTCTATATTATAGAATGATTTTTAAAAATCAAGACTGATTGTTGATCTTGTCAAATCCCTTTCCAGCGCCTATGGAGATGATAATTTGATGTTCACTTTAGATCCATTAGTGAAGGATTTATTAGATTTCCTGATAGGAACTACCTTGGAGTTCCAGGAATCCCACTTCGTTGCTGTGTATTTGGTTACACTGGATATATTTCCTACTAGTGACAATAAATCTTTCTTTTAACTACAGATATTCAGAATTTATGCATGCTAAATTTTTTTTTGTTTGGGTGTTTAGCCCTTTTAATTTTTATTTTAAAGTATTTCAAACAACACAGCAAAGTAAAAAGTTCAATGAGCACACATAAATTTAATACTTTTTAACATTTTGCCATATTTGTTTCATAAGTAAATATCACACACACATACTATTTTTCTTGAAGGTAGATTTGTCTGCAAGAAGCATGGGAATGTACATATCTCTTTCATATGCTGACTTCATTTTCTCTGGACATATTCCCAGAAGTGGGGTAGCTGGGTCTTATGGAGGATCTATTTTTAGTGTTTTGAGAAATTACCATACTGTTTTCCACAATGGCTATACTAATTTGATTCCTACCAACAGTATATTATTGTTCCCTTTTCTCTACATCCTCACCAACATTTGTTATTTTTTGACTTTCTGATAATAGCTATTCTAACTGGAATGAAATGTTACCTCACTGTGATTTTTAGTTTTGTTTCCCTGGCATGTAGTGACACTATGCATTTTTTTTTTCATGTGTTCGTTAGCCATTTGTATTTCTTTTGAAAAAGGTCTACTAAGATCTTTTTCACATTTCTCAACTGGATTATTTGTTTTGTTGTTGAATTTCTTGAACTTCGTATATATTAATCTTTTATTGGATGCATAGTTTGAAAGTATTTTTCTCCCATTCTATTGGTTGTTTCTTTACTCTGTTGTTTGCTTTGCTATGCAGGAGCTTCTTGGTTTGATATAATCCCATTTATTGCCTGTGCTTTTGGAGTCTTATCCAAAAAATTGTTGCCTATGCCAATACCTTGGAGTGTTTCCCCATGTTTTCCTCTAGTAGTTGCTTTTTATTTAATTTAATGAATGCATTTTTTTCATAGATACAACTTTAGGAATACATTGATTCTTTTCCCCATACCACTCCCCCAACTCCCATCCCACCTCCCTCTCCCTCTCCCATCTCCTTCTTCATTATGGTTCATTTTTAGTTTGACTTTATACACAGAAGACCAACACCATGCTAAGCATATACTTCAACGATTTGCACCCATGCACACACACAACATAGAG